GCTGACGAGACGCTGGTGATTCACAGACTCTGATCTGACACGGACGGGCTTTTAGAAGTGTGTTATTGAGAGAATGGAAATATGTGCGTCACAAAATAACCTTTTTTCACAAACGTTCATTTTTAGAACCGAATTCAATTGATGTTTTTGAACCTCTTTTTCACTTTGGAGCAATAAACCATCACGGATTTTACTACACACTTAACAATGTTAAGACTTTTCTTGACACTTCGCTTTCATAAAATAAGCAAAATTGTCAAAAATAATCATTGGAATAATGAATTATTCCAGCATGTCATTAATTAGTCTATTAATTATAGGATCATTAGAGTGAAGGAATGAGTGTTTTTCAGCTTATAGAATTTCAGTGCAGCTCGTCCAATCAGAATCAGGCAGTTTTATAAATCTATTTGTTAGATTTAATTGCCTGGTTTTTGTGTCACTTCCTGTGACCTCACACACATCTTCCTCGACCCTTATCAAATGTCACGCCCTTCCCGTTTCCCTCAAATGACCCCTGACCTCTGCTGACCCGCTCATTCTGAAGGATTAGTTCTCAGTCCAGATCTACGGTGTCTCACTTTCAGATGGACACACACATACACACACACACACACACACACACACACACACTTCTGCTTCCCTCATCCAGAGGATCTGCTCAGGTTATCAGGCTCATGTTGATTTAAACGCTATTGCTGTGGGAACCTTAAGCTTGGGAAATATCTGTGCGGCATATATATATACACACACTCAAACCAAACATTCACACACCAGATTTCATTTTGGATGATTTTTCACTAGTGTGTGCAGGACACTATAGTTCATTAATATAAGTGAGGAGAGCAAAATAAAGTAAACAGTGACATATTACACCCAAATATTCTTCATACAGAGACGACCAGTAAAACTTATCAAACCAATAATGATTCCTCCACTTTGAGCTGATCGTGTTTTCTTCAGTGTGTTTTCTGTAATTGCTAATGCTCTTTTTACACACACACTGAACAACATGAAGCATTGCTTGGTCACTGGTTGAGCTAAACTGGTATTATCTAATTGTGGAGTTAAATTTAACAGCTGACAGATATTCAACATAATTCATGTGTGAGAGTCTAACAGAAGGACGGACAAAACCAGTCAAATATCCACTGAGTTCTGCTCATATTTATTACCATTGTCTAAACTATAGCGAATAAACTGATAATGTGAGAAATGTTGAAGGTGTGTGAATAAAGTTAGGTTTGACTGTGGGCCTATATATATATATATATTCTCATCAGATAAGAGAGAAACACTTCTGACTGGTCAATTGAAGGACTAAATCAAACACAAGATCGCGTTTTCCTGCAGTTCCTCCACGATCGTGACCTTGAGCCGGGAAACACGTGACCTTGATCCGGGAACAGTGGAGCTGGAGCTCTGGAGACTCGAGGGCGGCGGAGACTGACACAGGCACTGACCCCGGAACAGTTTCTGTGGCGCTGCATGTCTTGTGCAACACAACACAGAGACGCGACGGAGTTCGGGGTCCGAGATTTACGAGGCTGCGATTTAAACTCCGCAGAGCGTTTGAGCAAAGGCTCGCATTCCTCATGTTTGTGCAAACAGCCGAGAACGGGACGAGTCCGGGGTCAGAACGGGGAAACAAAAGCCTGGAGATTTCTAATCAAGAGCAGGAAAAACTTATAAGGAAGGTTCAACCTTGACGCTCTTTGGAAGGAAACCAAGAGCTTTGATTCATGAAAAACAGCCGCTTTATAAATATTTCGTTTATGGGAATGAATCACTCACATTTGTTTTTCCTTCCGGCGATGCCACATCTGTGCTAAAGATGTCCGGCGTGATTGACGGATCGCTCTCTCGTGCAGAGCCGTACTCGAGCCCTCCTGACTGACGAATCAGAGTTAATCTGTGACTTCCTGTCTTCACAGGAAACAGGGCGAAACCTCGGGGTGAAACGCTTCGACCTCACTTTAGAGATGATGAGGAACATGAGGAGAGATTCGATCTGTGTGGTATTTTAATGTGAATCATTAGATGTTATGACTCGTAACATTAGATATGAAATGAGCTCAGTTCTGTCTCGCATGCCAAAATGAATGCAGTTTAGAACATTACTAATGTTAACATATTTAGCTACAAAAGTAACGTGTTACAATATGGGGTTACAAAAGTAAAGTTACTTTTAACCCATTATTGTAACACGTTACTTTCCTAACCCAATAATATAACACCTTACTTTTTTAACCCATTATTGTAACACATTACTTTTTTAACCCATTATTGTAACACATTACTTTTGTAATCCATTATTGTAACACGTTACTTTCCTAACCCAATAATATAACACCTTACTTTTTTAAACCCATTATTGTAACACGTTACTTTTGTAACCCAATATTGTAACACGTTACTTTCCTAACCCAATAATATAACACGTTACTTTCGTAACCCAATAATATAACACATTACTTTTTTAACCCATTATTGTAACACGTTACTTTTGTTACCCAATAATATAACACATTACTTTTTTAACCCAATATTGTAACATGTTACTTTCCTAACCCAATAATATAACACCTTACTTTTTTAACCCATTATTGTAACACGTTACTTTCCTAACCCATTATTGTAACACATTACTTTTTTAACCCATTATTGTAACACGTTACTTTCCTAACCCAATAATATAACACCTTACTTTTTTAACCCATTATTGTAACGCGTTACTTTTGTAACCCAATATTATAACACATTACTTTCGTAACCCAATATTGTAACATATTACGTTTGTAACACAATAATGTAAAACGTTACTTTTTTAAACCCATTACTGTAACACGTTACTTTCCTAACCCAATAATATAACACCTTACTTTTTTAACCCATTATTGTAACGCGTTACTTTTGTAACCCAATAATATAACACCTTACTTTTTTAACCCATTATTGTAACATATTACGTTTGTAACACAATAATGTAAAACGTTACTTTTTTAAACCCATTACTGTAACACGTTACTTTTGTAACCTAATATTGTAACACGTTACTTTTAACCCAATATTGTAATGTGTTATATTATTGGGTTACGAATGTAATGTTACAATACAGGGTTAAAAAAAGTAACGTTTTACATTATTGTGTTACAAACGTAATATGTTACAATATAGGGGTACGATATTAGGTTACAAAAGTAGTTACACACTATTGAGTTATGGTAAAATGGTAAATGGACTGCATTTATATATCGCTTTCACAGACCCAGAGTTACTCCCTAAAAAGTGACTTTTTATGGTATCATCTCCAGTGTGTAACTGCTATATATATATATCTTTTAAACCTTGCTGTGTGTACTTTGCTATAACTGAGACTTGTTACTGTTGCGCTCTTGTTGGTCTGATCGCTTCTATTGTTCTCCTCATTTGTAAATCGCTTTGAATAAAAGCTTCTGCTAAATGTAAATGGTAACTGGTATCTCTGGTGTGTTGCAGGATGAGCTGTAAGAGTGTGTGTGTGTGTGTGTGTGTGTGTGTGTGTAACTGGTATCTCTGGTGTGTTGCAGGATGAGCTGTAAGAGTGTGTGTGTGTGTGTGTGTGTGTGTGTGTGTGTGTGTAACTGGTATCTCTGGTGTGTTGCAGGATGAGCTGTAAGAGTGTGTGTGTGTGTGTGTGTGTGTGTGTGTAACTGGTATCTCTGGTGTGTTGCAGGATGAGCTGTAAGAGTGTGTGTGTGTGTGTGTGTGTGTGTAACTGGTATCTCTGGTGTGTTGCAGGATGAGCTGTAAGAGTGTGTGTGTGTGTGTGTGTAACTGGTATCTCTGGTGTGTTGCAGGATGAGCTGTAAGAGTGTGTGTGTGTGTGTGTGTGTGTGTGTGTAACTGGTATCTCTGGTGTGTTGCAGGATGAGCTGTAAGAGTGTGTGTGTGTGTGTGTGTAACTGGTATCTCTGGTGTGTTGCAGGATGAGCTGTAAGAGTGTGTGTGTGTGTAACTGGTATGTCTGGTGTGTTGCAGGATGAGCTGTAAGAGTGTGTGTGTGTGTGTGTGTGTGTAACTGGTATCTCTGGTGTGTTGCAGGATGAGCTGTAAGAGTGTGTGTGTGTGTGTAACTGGTATCTCTGGTGTGTTGCAGGATGAGCTGTAAGAGTGTGTGTGTGTGTGTAACTGGTATCTCTGGTGTGTTGCAGGATGAGCTGTAAGAGTGTGTGTGTGTGTGTGTGTGTAACTGGTATCTCTGGTGTGTTGCAGGATGAGCTGTAAGAGTGTGTGTGTGTGTGTGTGTAACTGGTATCTCTGGTGTGTTGCAGGATGAGCTGTAAGAGTGTGTGTGTGTGTGTGTGTGTAACTGGTATCTCTGGTGTGTTGCAGGATGAGCTGTAAGAGTGTGTGTGTGTGTGTGTGTGTAACTGGTATCTCTGGTGTGTTGCAGGGTGAGCTGTAAGAGTGTGTGTGTGTGTGTAACTGGTTTCTCTGGTGTGTTGCAGGATGAGCTGTAAGAGTGTGTGTGTGTGTGTGTGTGTGTAACTGGTAGGTCTGGTGTGTTGCAGGATGAGCTGTAAGAGTGTGTGTGTGTGTGTGTGTGTGTGTGTGTGTGTGTGTAACTGGTTTCTCTGGTGTGTTGCAGGATGAGCTGTAAGAGTGTGTGTGTGTGTGTGTGTGTGTGTGTGTAACTGGTATCTCTGGTGTGTTGCAGGGTGAGCTGTAAGAGTGTGTGTGTGTGTGTGTGTGTAACTGGTATCTCTGGTGTGTTGCAGGGTGAGCTGTAAGAGTGTGTGTGTGTGTGTAACTGGTTTCTCTGGTGTGTTGCAGGATGAGCTGTAAGAGTGTGTGTGTGTGTGTGTGTAACTGGTATGTCTGGTGTGTTGCAGGATGAGCTGTAAGAGTGTGTGTGTGTGTGTGTGTGTGTAACTGGTATCTCTGGTGTGTTGCAGGATGAGCTGTAAGAGTGTGTGTGTGTGTGTGTGTGTGTAACTGGTATCTCTGGTGTGTTGCAGGATGAGCTGTAAGGTGGCGCTGTTGCTGCTCCTCTCCGGCGCGCTGTACGTCTCCGCCGGCCGTAAGAACCGTCCGCACTCCTCCATCCCGTCGCCCTACAAGCCCGGCTCCAACGCCTCGGACCGGCGCGGACAGGAAGTGCTGGCGTCCAGCCAGGAAGCGCTGGTGGTGACGGAGCGGCAGTACCTGCGGAGCGACTGGTGTAAGACTCAGCCGCTGCGTCAGACGGTCAGCCAGGACTCGTGCCGGAGCCGCACCGTCATCAACCGCTTCTGCTACGGCCAGTGCAACTCCTTCTACATCCCGCGGCACGTGCGGAAGGAGCAGGAGTCGTTCCAGTCGTGCTCCTTCTGCCGGCCGCAGCGCTTCACCAGCCTCACGGTGGAGCTCGAGTGTCCCGACCTGCAGCCGCCCGTCCGGTTCCGCAAGATCCCGCGGGTCAAGCAGTGCCGCTGCATGTCCGTCAGCGTGTCCGAGGCCGGCAAGCTGTGAGCGTTCACTGGTGCTGATCTGAGCTCAGAGACACTGAACACTGATGGTGTCTGAGCGATCCAGAACACACTCGATCCAGAACACACGCGATCCAGAACACACGCGATCCAGAACACACGCGATCCAGAACACACGCGATCCAGAACACACGCGATCCAGAACACACGCGATCCAGAACACACGCGATCCAGAACACACGCGATCCAGAACACACGCGATCCAGAACACACGCGATCCAGAACACACGCGATCCAGAACACACTCGATCCAGAACACACTCGATCCAGAACACACTCGATCCAGAACACACGCGATCCAGAACACACGCGATCCAGAACACACGCGATCCAGAACACACGCGATCCAGAACACACGCGATCCAGAACACACGCGATCCAAAACACACGCGATCCAGAACACACGCGATCCAGAACACACGCGATCCAAAACACACGCGATCCAAAACACACGCGATCCAGAACACACGCGATCCAGAACACACGCGATCCAGAACACACGCGATCCAGAACACACGCGATTCAGAACACACGCGATTCAGAACACACGCGATCCAGAACACACGCGATCCAGAACACACTCGATCCAGAACACACGCGATCCAAAACACACGCGATCCAAAACACACGCGATCCAGAACACACTCGATCCAGAACACACGCGATCCAGAACACACGCGATCCAGAACACACGCGATCCAGAACACACGCGATCCAGAACACACGCGATCCAGAACACACGCGATCCAGAACACACGCGATCCAGAACACACTCGATCCAGAACACACGCGATCCAGAACACACGCGATCCAGAACACACTCGATCCAGAACACACGCGATCCAAAACACACGCGATCCAGAACACACGCGATCCAGAACACACGCGATCCAGAACACACTCGATCCAGAACACACGCGATCCAGAACACACTCGATCCAGAACACACGCGATCCAGAACACACGCGATCCAGAACACACGCGATCCAGAACACACGCGATCCAGAACACACGCGATCCAGAACACACGCGATCCAGAACACACTCGATCCAGAACACACGCGATCCAGAACACACGCGATCCAGAACACACGCGATCCAGAACACACTCGATCCAGAACACACGCGATCCAGAACACACGCGATCCAGAACACACGCGATCCAGAACACACGCGATCCAGAACACACGCGATCCAGAACACACGCGATCCAAAACCCACGCGATCCAGAACACACGCGATCCAGAACACACGCGATCCAGAACACACGCGATCCAAAACACACGCGATCCAAAACACACGCGATCCAGAACACACTCGATCCAGAACACACGCGATCCAGAACACACTCGATCCAGAACACACGCGATCCAGAACACACGCGATCCAGAACACACGCGATCCAGAACACACTCGATCCAGAACACACTCTCAGAAGAGAAGGCTCTACATGGAGCCTCAACGGCTTCACACTGTATACAGAACCTGGTACTCTCTTAAAGGGATAGTTCACACAGAAATGAAAATTAGCCCAGGATTTACTCACCCTGAAGTCATCCTAGCTGTATATGACATTCTTCTTCAAGTTATATTAAAAAATGTCCTGGCTCTTCCAAGCTTTATAATGGCAGTGAATGGCCGTTTCTGTTTTGAATTCCATAAAAGTGCATCTATCCACTTGGATGGTGAGAGGTTTTCATCACGGGATCATTTTATGGATTTTAGTTTTAATTCATTTTGTGTGGTTGGGCTCTTTAGACATTGACACTAACAGTCACTAATACTCTAACGAGAGTGAGTTGACATGGAGTTAGTTATAGTTTGTGGACTGTCTAAAGTAGGCAATCGAAATAAAGTTAGAGCTATTGCTTTCCTGTAGCTCAGACAGTAGAGCGCTGGCGCTTGCAACGCCACGGTCATGGGTTCGATTCCCAGGGAAAGCAAGAACTGATAAGAATGTAAATGTGTAGCTTGAAATGCAATGTAAGTCGCTTTGGATAAAAGTGTCTGAAATATGAAAGTATTATGCTATAATTTCTCCTCGATCCTTTTTTCTAAGAGTTCAGACTGGTTATAGAGATTCTATAGAAATATGGTACCACAGAAGTATATATATATCTATATGTATGTAGAGAAACAACTGAAGTCTATATTAAAACTATGGAGTTTATTGTGATTGATGTAAAGCAGTTTTTCTTCATCAGTGCTTCAAAGTTTTAATAAAACTAAGATTATTGGAGTACGTTTTACACGAAAACACAATTTGTCTTTTTGCTTAAATTTCTCATTTAAGTCATTGTTACTTGCCGTTTCTTTGTGAAATTTAGTTTCAGAGTGAAAGTTGTTTCAGAGTTACTCCAGATTACTCCAGTAGTACAGGTCCTTCTAAAAAAATTAGCATATTGTGATAAAGTTCATTATTTTCCATAATGTAATGATAAAAATTTAACTTTCATATATTTTAGATTCATTGCACACCAACTGAAATATTTCAGGTCTTTTATTGTTTTAATACTGATGATTTTGGCATACAGCTCATGAAAACCCAAAATTCCTGTCTCAAAAAAATTAGCATATTTCATCCGACCAATAAAAGGAGTGTTTTTAATACAAAAAAATAAGTCAACCTTCAAATAATTATGTTCAGTTATGCACTCAATAGTCAATACTTGGTCGGGAATCCTTTTGCAGAAATGACTGCTTCAATGCGGCGTGGCATGGAGGCAATCAGCCTGTGGCACTGCTGAGGTGTTATGGAGGCCCAGGATGCTTCGATAGCGGCCTTAAGCTCATCCAGAGTGTTGGGTCTTGCGTCTCTCAACTTTCTCTTCACAATATCCCACAGATTCTCTATGGGGTTCAGGTCAGGAGAGTTGGCAGGCCAATTGAGCACAGTAATACCATGGTCAGTAAACCATTTACCAGTGGTTTTGGCACTGTGAGCAGGTTCCAGGTCGTGCTGAAAAATGAAATCATCTCCATAAAGCTTTTCAGCAGATGGAAACATGAAGTGCTCCAAAATCTCCTGATAGCTAGCTGCAATGACCCTGCCCTTGATAAAACACAGTGCACCAACACCAGCAGCTGACATGGCACCCCAGACCATCACTGACTGTGGGTACTTGACACTGGACTTCAGGCATTTTGGCATTTCCTTCTCCCCAGTCTTCCTCCAGACTCTGGCACCTTGATTTCCGAATGACATGCAAAACTGAGCAACAGTCCAGTGCTGCTTCTCTGTAGCCCAGGTCAGGCGCTTCTGCCGCTGTTTCTGGTTCAAAAGTGTCTTGACCTGGGGAATGCGGCACCTGTAGCCCATGTCCTGCACACGCCTGTGCACGGTGGCTCTGGATGTTTCTACTCCAGACTCAGTCCACTGCTTCCGCAGGTCCCCCAAGGTCTGGAATCGGTCCTTCTCCACAATCTTCCTCAGGGTCCGGTCACCTCTTCTCGTTGTGCAGCGTTTTTTGGCACACTTTTTCCTTCCCACAGACTTCCCACTGAGGTGCCTTGATACAGCACTCTGGGAACAGCCTATTTGTTCAGAAATTTCTTTCTGTGTCTTACCCTCTTGCTTGAGGGTGTCAATGATGGCCTTCTGGACAGCAGTCAGGTCGGCAGTCTTACCCATGATTGCGGTTTTGAGTAATGAAACAGGCTGGGAGTTTCTAAAAGCCTCAGGAATCTTTTGCAGGTGTTTAGAGTTAATTAGTTGATTCAGATGATTAGGTTAATAGCTCGTTTAGAGACCCTTTTCATGGTATGCAAATTTTTTGAGACAGGAATTTTGGGTTTTCATGAGCTGTATGCCAAAATCATCAGTATTAAAACAATAAAAGACCTGAAATATTTCAGTTGGTGTGCAATGAATCTAAAATATATGAAAGTTTAATTTTTATCATTACATTTTGGAAAATAATGAACTTTATCACAATATGCTAATTTTTTTAGAAGGACCTGTATACTCCAGTAGTATACTCCAGTACACCAGATGTTTTTCAGTGTAAATCCAGCTTGAATCTGCAGATTTGTGTTTGCTGATTTTGAGGGAGTCTGTAACAGATTTAAAGGCCTGTTCACACCGAGAATGAGAATAATACACCGTTTACACGATAAACTGTGTTTTGGCCCTTCATTTACATGATAAGTGTTCTGGGGGGACTGAAAACACAAACGTTTTTAAAAACGATACACCACAAGGATCACTTTCTGAGCGATGAACGACACAAACATTAACAGCCAATCAGAATCCATCTGACTTTACCAGGAAAACTTCTCTTTAGATTATTGGAGTAGCTACGCTTTACAAGAAAATCAGTCAATTTCTTCAAAATTCACTTTTAATTCAACGTGTTCGCCTACCTGCTGATTCTGTGTGAAACCTGGCAATTCTGAGTGACAGCGGTGTCTACACCACTCTTTCCCAGTGGACGACCATCACCATCGGGAGCATCCATGGACAGATCGACACACTTTCCCTCATTCTGACAGATAAACTATTCCTGAATCACTGCAGTAAACACGGATTGGAAGAGGAAAAGGTTTTAAAGCACCTGTTTGAAAACAACCCGGGAAAGAGATGTGAAAGGATTTGTGAGGAAAAGCGAACGATTGTTAGTGAATTCCAGCGCATTATTTATGGAATGTGTTCATTAAATCAGGAGAACGGATCACAAGTGCAGCATCCGGTGTGTGTTCTCTATTGTTATAGCGAGACAGAAGATAAAAGCACGTGGCGGACTGAAGGACGCATCAGATATTCTTCCAGTCACAGTAACTCTTTCCCTGCCGAATGAGGAGACCCTGGAAGATGCTGTATCACGCTAATCCCACCGATTACCAATCTCAATGCTACCGATTCCAAATCCCAATGCCACGATTCCCATTCCTAATCCCACAGATTCCCAATCCCACCGATTCCCAATCCTAATCCCAATCCCACCGATTCCCAATCCCACCGATTCCCAACCCCACCGATTCCCAACCCCAATCCCACCGATTCCAAATCCCAATCCCACCGATTCCCAATCCCACCGATTCCCAACCCCAATCCCACCGATTCCCAATCCCAATCCCACCGATTCCCAATCCCAATCCCAATTCCAGCGTCACATCATTCGGCACAACACTGGCTTTCACTGTTATACTAACTTGGGAAAACCCAGACAACTTCCAGCAAATTTAGATTTGCTCTGCAAGTTAGTCTGGCAAAGAGCTCATTCAAGCCCATTTCCAATCCGTTGAAATCGCGGCACCAATCAGAAACGTTGGGGCGGGCTTTACACGATGACGTCAGCACAGCGACGGTGAAGCAGATCTTGTACATTTACAAAGATGGATGCCGCCGTGGAACTAACGTTAGGGGTGTGACGGTTATAGTTGAACATTGTCATTAGAACTCTATAACCGCCAAAACAATGTTCTAAAAATATTTTTTTCACAAAAAAATTTATCATAGAGAATGTTTAAATACTAATATCAGCTTACGAGGGAAACGGAGGCGGAGTTAGTGGTGCTAAGAGGCTGAGTGCTGGAGATGATTCGGGAGAGGTCTGTCCCCCTTTACCGATCAGAGCGCTGACACGGAGTAAAGCCTTGTTTATACTCGACGCCTCCGCACGAGCGCGAAGGTGCACGCGGGAAAAATGACGCGTTCGGTGCGCAAGACCGGCAAGACGCCATTTCGCTTGGCTGTGTGCACGGCTTTTTTTGTAACAGCGCCGCGTCCGAGGATGAATGACTTCAAGCCGATTCTGCCCGAGCCGTACGTCTCACCGCACCGGCACGCAGTTTGCGCGTCTAAATTGCAAAGTTCATTGCAAAGTTTTTTTTGTTAAGGTTTTGTTTACTATGTGTAATTTATTTAATGGAAAGCACTTTCACTTCTAGTTGTCTTGCTGTTAATTTTAAATAAACGTAGAGCAAGTAGCTAATCAGTGTCTGCTCTATAACAGATGAACGCCGCTCTGCATACGTCATCTCCTTCATCGCTCTGATTGGGTTTAGGTCTATCCGCGACGTCCACTGGTGACGCCCCTCTGGAAATGATTAGTCTATGACGCTTTGCCAGACCCTAACTCAGTTACAACTGAGAATGCTCTGGTTTTAACCAGGCTACTGTTATACAGTTATTACGTAACTTTTGAAAGAGTAAAGAATCTCTGAATCAAAAAAAAAAGAAAAAAAAAAGCAGAAACAAGAGATAGAAGCATTTTTTTTGTTGCTTTTTGTTCAAAATGTTGCATTTTTACAGGCGAAACTCGAAAATGTTTAATATCGTGCAAAGTTAATTTCAGTAATTCAAATTAAAAGATGAAACTAATATTATATAGACTCATTACATGCAAAGTGAGATATTTCAAGCCTTTATTTGTTATAATTGTGATGATTATGGCTTACAGCTTATGAAAACCTCAAATTCAAAATTAGAATATTGTGGAAAGGTTTTCATGTCTGTAAGCCATAATCATCACAATTATAACAAATAAAGGCTTGAAATATCTCACTTTGCATGTAATGAGTCTATATAATATATTATTTTCACCTTTTAAGTTGAATTACTGAAATAAATGAACTTTTGCACGATATTCTCATTTTTCGAGTTTCACTGTATGAAAATTTACCCATTCAAGTGTTGATAAAAAAGACTGCATGAAGCTAGGATATATATATATATATATATTTTTTTTTAAAGATGTTGTTATATGATCTGTTATTTCCTTTGATATATTGCATGTTCAGATATTAAAACAAAATATTCTGAGGGCCATGGAAGTTGTGAGTTAAACTGGCAGGGAAAGAGTTAAAATACCAAGCATTACATTATTCCCCGACGGATTAAATGAGAGCATGATGGGAAATGTCCAGCTCATTCAGTCAAACTCCGCTTCAGTCTGTGTGTGGAAATCCCCCAAACCGGATGCTTTATAACGCAAGCGCTGGATGTGAACAGCTCTTTACCACGGTAAAGTGTGTTATCAGTTATTACTGAAGCAAAGAAATGAAGCATTAGCATGAAGACATTCATTAGAGGAGAAACACTCAGGGTTATTATCGGGAACTGGAACTATTAAAAAGATCTCTATTCACTGAAATAAAATATTAGTTGGAAATCAAAATGAGAATTAGAAAAAAAGCACGACTAAATATGAAACTAAAACACTGCTTCAAGTAAATCTCGAATCAAGTGAAATCAATAAAAACGTCTGAAATTATTAATCGCTTTATTTTACATAAATTACAGTCTTCTCAAAACGTTCGGATACAAACAGTTATTGCACACGCAGCGCGGACGGATCCGGCCTCCCACACGGACATGCTAAAAACAAACCGCAACGCTACATACAGATGTTAATAACCTTTACATTAATTTAAAAAACATCATTTTTAAATACTTTAGTGAGTGAGTGTGTGGATGCAGCAAAACAATCTTGCATAATTTCACAAAAACACTGAGTTGATTTCCTGAACGTTTCCTCCGTCCTCTTCACATGGAGTGTCTCTCCCGGGTCCTGTAGGCTCGGCTGTGCTTTGAACATGTTGAACTGCTGATTAAAAGCTTGCTGATGTTTACAGATCCAGATTTCTCGTTCCCTGTTCTCTATTAAAAATAAGACACACTTTTTTTCCTCTGATGACGTTGAGAACTTCAGCGGGGATTGTGGGAATTCTGGAGCAAACATCTGATATGTTCGTCACCGCACAGGATATGACATCACATTCTGAGGGCCGATCACTTCCTGTGTCCGTACGGCAGAAGTAACACTGAAGCTGTGTGTGCGAGAGCGAATTAAAGATCGAACAACAAGAGCGTTCGTTCCTTCATCAGGCGTCTCAGATCTTCATACCCAACTTTGCTTTCTGAGGGACACAAAAAAAGAATTTAATTATTAAAATGCCCCGTTACGCTGTTTTAAAGGCTCCTAATGTTGTTTTAAAGGCTCCTAATGTTGTTTTAAAGGCTCCTAATGTTGTTTTAAAGGCTCCTAATGTTGTTTGAGAGTCTCCTGAACAGGTTCACATGCATGTAAAGTCATAAACACTGTAATGTCCTCAATCTCCAATCAGCTTCAGCTCTTTCCTCTCAGTGTCTGAAACGCTTCCATCGAGGATTCAGTCTCTCTAAGCCCCGCCTCTCTGAGAGCTGCTCTGCTCTGATTGGTCAGAGAGCAAACGCTCATTATCATATCTGAATCTCAGCTCTTGATCACAGTGATACGAACAGTGACGATGGCGTGGGTTTCACCGTCTCAATCTCAGAAAACAGCGTCTCCTCGACACGAACAACACGAGCCGAACTCTTCCAGTCTCAGATACACTACAGTGTTTGAGGGCGGAGCTAAGAGACGCTGTTCAGCCAATCAGGACCAGAGGCGGGCATTATGCTAATTAGTTACAAACCTACGCAGGATCAGCAGGAAGTGAGACTGAATTAATGATGAATATTCAAATGCATTCGGCAGACATTTATCCAATGTGAATTACACTGTAATTGAAACAATGTGTGTGTGTCAGGGTTTCCGTTGTCCGGTAATTACCGGACATTGGCCGGGAAAAAAATGAAATGTCCGACAAAATTAAATCTCTCCGGTCAAATTGTCCGATTAAAATTGTGTAATAATCCCGCCCCCCTAACACGATATGAATTTGAGAATAAGCCTAAAATGTATAAAACAAAAATACACCGACCTTTGGCTATGTATGTTATAAAGGAACAGCCTCTACCGTTTGAAAGTTGTTGAACAACATTGCATGCTGCATTTCAAATAAAGCGCACGCCTAGAACGGCTGTAATATAGACCTAAACACCGAACGATTGAGTGAGACGTTTCAGATATGGCCAGGCCCAGCCTTGAAGGAACACTCCACCGTTTTTTTTAAAAAATTGGGGTTATTCACGGTCTCCCCTACATTTAGATAGGTGGGCAAATGCATGTTTGGAAGCACAGGCGAAGCACTGCTACTTGGGCGCAGAGATATCACGCAACACCTGAAATAAAGCTTGCCACAAAGAACCGGCGAAAGTAATATTATGCATGAAACATTTGAATTATTGATAAAGTTGATAAATAGCTATGACGATGCAGACTCGTCATCTTCGCAGTAGTGAACGCGCCTAGAGAGAGAAGTGTGCACGCGCCGACGCCTCCGTGTCCTGATTATATTGTCCACTATATTTGCTTCTTATTTATTAATCCAGGCAAATTTGTTGATGAAACATTGATTAAAATTAAGATACAATTTATACAAAACAAAATTTAAGCAAAAATAATATTCGAAGATCGCTGGGTTGATTATTATTCGAAAATCGCACCCCTCCACCACACACACATGCATTAGGCTACACACCAGAGCATGAGCAAAGCGGAGCGGTGTGACGCTTATTATAAGTTAAAAAACTTAAACATACGTTTCATATTTATAAATTATTAGGCTATATGAAAAGGGAACCGCATGAGATGAGTAAGATAGGATCATAAGATGACCAATAGGCTTATATATCGGAAAACATTTGGAATGGGTCAGATTGACCACTGATTTAGTTTTGTTTTGTAGAAAGCCTTTCTTTAAAGTTTATTTCGTTTTGTATAAATTGTATCTTCATTTTAATCAATGTTTCATCAACAAATTTGCCTGGATTAATAAATAAGAAGCAAATATAGTGGACGATATAATCAGGACACGGATGCGCCGGCGTTCTGCATTTCTCTCTCTAGGCGCGTTCACTACTGCGAAGATGGCGAGTCTGCATCGTCAACTTTATCAATTTATCAACAATTCAAATGTTTCATGCATAATCATTACTTTCACCGGTTCTTTGTGGCAAGCTTTATTTCAGGTGTTGCGTGATATCTCTGCGCCCAATAGCAGTGCTTCGCCTGTGTAGACTCTGAGTCTCCGCAACGGCGATATTGAAACGCGTGTCCGAGTGAAGATTGCGCAACTCGCGCAGCGCGTCGTCCATGACACTGATAGCGGCGACACGAGCGCTCAGCTTGATTTAAAAAACAACTGATTTTAGCGCTAGATTTCTTATTTAATAGCGAACTAAATGAATGATCTGCTAGTGAACTGGAGATGTTTTATTTATTTGTATTAGGTACATCCGTGCCTCAATGTTTCAAAAAGTGAATGTGTGTGAAACCATAGTAAAAAACAATTGGTGTTGATTGACGCCAATCGGACGTTCATGTTTTTTTCCGTCTATTTGAAAGTGAGGCTAATAATAACATGTTGCATTCTATAAGGCCTGATTATGTCATTTTTTAAGTTACATAGCCTGCCTCCAGTTTTCCTCAACTTGACTAATTAAGAGGCGATATTTGACCGGCATATCATCAAAATGTCCGTTAAACGAAACCTCTGCCGGTCACTTTGACCGGCACCATTTTTTTCTAGCGGAAACTCTGGTGTGTGTGTGTGAAAAGAGAGAGATAAATAAATGGTGACTTACGATTCCAGACGCGTGTTTGGGTTTGACACTGTACGAGGCCTTTTCTTTGACCTGTCGGAAACACTCCTCCGCCGCCTTCAACCTGAGGAAACAGCAGAGGCAAACGAGTCAACACACACACACACACACACACACACAAGGATTTTCTGTAAAGCTGCTTTGAAACGAGTGTTGTGAAATCTGCACTGGCAGCACACAGAGGAAGTTTGTCTGTCTAACCGTAAACGAGTCTTGATGGATCTGTTCACGCTCACACACACACACTCTCTCTCTCTCTCTCTCAGACACACACACTCTGTAACGAGTGATGGATCTGTCTGCTGGTCAGAAGTTAAGATCTGACCGTCTGAACACAGATGATTGAGCAGCGCAGGAGTGGATCCTACACACACACACACACTTCGTCATGGTCATGTGAGTGTTTTATGACCTCCAGCCAGTGAATGAAGCCCGAGCTCCATAATAGGCCATGTTTAGCGTCACACACCAATCCTGACGCTGCAGGGAGAACACACTCATGTAACACACACACTCATGAACACACACACACTCATGATGAACACAACTCATGAACACACACACACACCCCGGCGCTCGTCAGACGGAGGCGCGTCACTGGAGCGCAGCAGAAGTGCAGAGCCAACACTTCCAGCGCGTGATGGATTCGGCTCTAAGAGCGGGAGATGTTTACAGCAGGGGGAATTATGGGTAAAGGGCGAGAGATCTCCTGCACATCAGCAGCTGCTGCTTTAAACAGCGGAACAGAGCCGCGCGTCTCAGCGAGCCGGACCGGGACACCAGACCAAACATGGAGCGTCTGCGGCTCGGGTCACGGCCCGCATCACTTCCTGCCGCACACACACTCACAGTCCAGCGTTCAGCGGCTCAGAAGAGCACCAGCAGAGCCACTACGCCGATCACCGCATGAACACTCGAGAGGAGGGATAAAAGCAAAACCAAATCAGAAAAGAAAAAAAGAAGTAAAAATAAAGAAAGAAAAGAAAGTGCATAAAGAAGATGCTAAAATTATAAATGAAAAAATAAAAATCTAAGAAATAAATTAATAATTTGTATAATAATAAGAAAACTAATGAAAAAAAAGAAAAAAGAGATAAAAAACCGAAATAAGAGAAAAAAGTAAATAAATAAATACAAATAAAGATAAATCTAAAAGAAAAAGGAAAATTAAATTATCAATAAATAAATAAAAGGAATACAAAAAAATACATAAAATCTAAATATAATAAATAAAAAGAAAAAAGGCCAAAGAGGAGATCAATATAAAAGAAAAAGAAAAAAGAAAAGAAAAAAGTATAAAGAAAAAAAAGAATAAATACAGAAATAGAAAAAAAAAAAAAAAAATGAAGAAATGAAATGAAAAAAAAGAAAAGAAAACTAAACTAATATAAAAATAGAAAATAAAATAAATGATAAAACCATAAATAAAGAAAGGCCTGAAGACAGGAGTGTGTCCTCGAGACGCTGAGGGTCTCCACCAGCTAGAGGTGTTCGACACACACACACACACACACTTCATCATCTAATATCTCAGCGGCTGCTAAACTGGAGTGTATTAAACACTCGTGTGTATCCAGCGCCGCTCCAAACACACGGTTCACATCAGTGACAAACTAGTGTTTAGTTCATCATTTACTCGTTACAAACTCAGACTGTAGTTTCCTCTTCAGAACACAAACGAAGATGTTCATAATGAAACCGAGCGCTTTTGGTCCTCATATGATCATGACTCCTGCATTAACCCTCTCCATTCATAAGCATTCGTTGTATGACGCTTGTATGACACTTGTGGATCTTCACTGCAAAAAAATGCTTTTCTTCCTCAGTATTTGTCTCTCGTTTTCCAGTAAAAATATCAAATCTAAAAATTAAGATACATTTACGATATTAAGTCGTTTCCTGAAGATCTGCTAATGGGGTCAGAAATAGAAATATTCTTGTTTTCCCTTTAAATTCAGTGGATGTTTCGGACCTCACTGCAGATTCAGCTCTCGTTTTAAACACACTCACTAAGTTCTGATGATTTCTTCAGAAAACTGACTAAACATGGTTTAAAAATCTATTTAATACAAGTTATTTTGTTTCTCCAGTAAAATGGAAATACGATGAATTTATTAGATGTAAATGGAAAACAAGAAAATGTAGTGAAGATCCAAAAAATGTCAAAAGCGTCGTAAAATTAATCCATATGAATGGAGTGGTTTAATTCAAGAGACACGGTGAATATTTAATCTAGGCTTTTGAAACAGTGACAATTAAAACAAATAAAACCCTAAGCGAAAAAACAACAACAATAGAATAGAAAATAAATACAAAAAAAGAGAGAAAAAATAAATGAACAAAAAAACTAAATTAAACGAGTAGTTTAATGCAGAGACACAAATGCTTTTAAATGATGAATACATTAAATGAAGGCTTTTATTTGTGGAATTTTGTATTTTTTGTGCCGTGTTGTAAGTTTTGGTTTCCAGTAAAAGCGCAGTGAAATGTCCGGCTGCAGCACACACACACACACACACACACACACACACACACACACACACACAGAGCTTTCGGTGTCAGACAGATCAGTGTCTCTCGGCTCCAGGAGACTCTTCTGTTCCAGCGCACAAACCACAGGCTTTCAGGACTAATTGTGTCCGCGAGACGGAGAGCCTCTGTGGGTTTAGGAGGCGCTGGAGGAGAAAAGCAAACACTTTAGCAGCAGATCGTGTGATTAACAGGCCAGCCATGTCACAGGAAACGCATCACTCTCTGGGAACTGATCTATCAGAGTCAGCCGTGTCGCGGCGGCGGCGAGAGAGAGACACAAAGCGCTTCTCCTCCCAGCAGGACCAGTGAAAGAGCCGTCTCTATCGCACATCTCCAGCATTGTGCTCCGGATCACAGGCCTCAGGTCGAGTTTCAGGCCCTGGCAGACGAGAGCCTCAGCGCTGCACAGGTCAGAGGTCAGAGGTCACGCGATCGGCCTCGAGAGGCGAGGAGATGATGTGGGAAACGGCTCAGAGACGCCAAACTAGCGGCAGCGTAACAGAAAGCAGGATATGTCAATAAATGTTTAGAAAGAAAAGGTAAGAGAAATAAATGAACAAAATTAGATAATTAAATTAAAGAAAAATAAAAAAAATAATAGAAAGAACAAAAACAGAAAAATAACTATTATTAGACGAATAAAAGAACAAATTAGAAAAAACAAACAAACAATGAAAAGGAAAAAGAAAAAATGATTAACAAAAACAAACCAAATGAAAAATATGAACAAAATGTAGAAAAATTAGAAAAAACGAAAATAAAATAAGTAAAGGGAATGACAATAAAATGAAGTAAATAGAAATTAAGGAAAAAAGAAAGCAAAAATAAAATTAAGAGAAAAATAAAACTACAACCAAAATTAAATAATAAATAAAAGAAAAAAGGACAAGAAAAAAATAAAGCAAACAAATAAACAGACAAAAATAAACAATATAAGAAATAAAAAGTGAAATACAAGAAAAATAAGGTAAAAAGAGATAAATTAATTAATTAAATGAAAAAGGCAAAAAAGACAGAAATATAAAGAATGACAATTAAGACAAATAAATAAAAATGAAAGAAAGAAAGAAAAAGTTATAGCAAAGCAAGCAAAGATAAAAATAAATAAATAAATAGAAGAAAAAATAAAGAAAACAATTAAAAGGAAAGAATAACAAATAATAAAGAAAAATAGAGAATGACAATTAAGACAAAATTAAATAGAAATAAAGAAAAAAGAAAGCAAAGCAGGCAAAAAACTTAATGAATAAATGAATAAAAAGAGAAAAAAAATAACAGAATTAAATGAGAAAAGAAGAAAAATAAAGAAAGAAAAAGTGAGAGCAAAGCAAGCTAAATAACTAAAATTAATAAATAAATAGAAAAAAAAGAAAGAAAAATAAATGAACAAAACAACTTGAAAATAAAGAGAATGACGATTAAGGCCATTAAAGAGAGAGAGAGAAAGGCCTGAGAGTGTATCAGGACAGATGTAGAGATTCGGTCCTCATGAATAATGCAGAGCTGAAGAGCTCGAGTGTGTGTGCGCTATCGCGACGCTGAGAGTGTGTGTGCTATCGCGACGCTGAAGGGCTCGAGTGTGTGTGCGCTATCGCGACGCTAAGAGTGTGTGTGCTATCGCGACGCTGAAGGGCTCGAGTGTGTGTGTGCTATCGCGACGCTGAGAGTGTGTGTGCTATCGCGACGCTGAAGGGCTCGAGTGTGTGTGTGCCATCGCGACGCTGAGTGTGTGTGTGCTATCGCGACGCTGAAGGGCTCGAGTGTGTGTGTGCTATCGCGACGCTGAGAGTGTGTGTGCTATCGCGACGCTCCATCGCTCCACTGGAAGCTAGCGCACCGCGCCGGTACTCTCTGCATTAGCGGGGTTACACAAACACACAGGGTTCATCAGCGCGCTCTCGCTTTCAGGGCCAACCTGAATGTGGCAGATATAATCTAATATCAAACACATGGCACAGGTTATGGGAGAGGACGAACCGCACACACACACACACACACACACACACACACACGTCATCTCGCTTTAGCTTGATGCATTTCCCAGAGAACACTGCGTCCTATCTGGTGTCACTGTACACGTCAGTAAACGCACTAACCGTTAGTCGTCTAGAAGAGGCGTAGTCGAACTGAACTGTATTAGTCGTTTGAGTCGCAGAAGAAAAACCTGAAAAAGTGTCGAAATCGTTAACGGCAGGAAATCCAAACATCATAGATCATTCATGACACGGCTAATATCACTTGAAACATGCGAGTAGCAGCACTTCTGCTAATCACTCTAATGCTAACAGACACGTGTGTGCTATTTAGGCACATTAGTGTTTGTGTGGGAGTGTGTTACTGCATGACACACACACACATCACTGCTTTTAACTCAAAATACTCACACAGATGAGAGTAATGCTAACTGTAAAGTCTACTGTTATTTCTGTAAACTCAAATGAACCGAAACTCAGCGTATACTTGCTTCACAGACATGAGATATCTATAGAAAGATTACATTTGAATGAACAAATTCCAATGGAAAATAAATATTCTCAGGTTATGTAATCCGTATGAAACGCACTAATAAAATAATACATTACGACATATTCATAATCATCATGTTTGCCGGTGCGCCGTGGCTTTATGTTTGAATTTGTGTGCTTATTAGGCTATACGTATTTTATATAGGCGCATTATTATGATTTATGGCTTATTAAAATAAACGCAGGATTAGTCAACTAACGGCTAACATGAACGACTACTAGTCGAGGGCAGCGCTACAGATTTATAATATTTCTGCTGGAAAACAAGAGAGAAATGGAGGAAGAACATGATCTTTTCCACAGGATCATAAACCGTCACTCATCTTTGATCTTCACACACGTTCAGTCCAGAACACACACACACACACACACACACACACACACACACGCTTCTCTGGAAGATTCAGGAGCGTCTAATTCCAGGAATGCTGATCCGTACACTTTTCCGTGTCAGAACAAAGCTTTCCTCCATCATATTCCCCTCTGAGAGAGCATATTTCAGCCCTTCCCATGATGCACCTGTGGACGGCGTGCTCAGGTGCTCACATTAAATCACGCAGCTGGACAGCAGGCGCTCCTCAAACACACCTCGGCCTCGGAAGATGTTTCCACAACACTTCAGGAGCGAAGACTCGACAGAAGCACTTCATAAATCAGCCTGAGCTTCTTTATTCTCCATTACGCCACTGTGATCCGGGACTAAACACTGAGGCCATCTCACACACACACACACACGTACCTCTCCTGCAGGATGACCTTGTTCTCCTTCTTCCAGGTGTCTTTAAAGTCGCTGGAGAACTCGTGCCACACGGAGAAGAAGGTGTTTGGAGAAACCTCTTTCTCTCCGCCTTTGGCCTTGACCGAGAAGAACACGCACAGATCCAGGAACCTGTGACACACACACACACACACACACACACAGCGGTTTCAGAGAGATGCTGGAGATCAGGACACAAGAATTCCTCACGGATTGACCAGAACGTCTCCCGCTAAAGTGGAAACACCCCAAAAAAGAAAAAAAGGGGGTTTTCTTTTTCTGAAGGAAATAGAAACTGTTTGCCGGTGCAAAACGTGGTTTCTAGGGTGATCTAGGTTTGTTTTCCTACTAAAAATACGAAAAAAATACGAAAAAAAACGGATTCATGAAAATCAAAAAAAAATTTTTTTTTAATTTAAGGATAAATTCTTAGTTCGTAAAATGTTCCTCAGTGTAATTACTGAAAAAATGTCATCATATTTTGTCCTCGAGAAGAAAATGACAACTTTTGTCTTTAAAAAAAAAAAAAAAAAAAACACATATACCTAATAATAATAATTAAAAAAAACATGAACATTCTTAAATGCTTTTGGGAATAAAAATATTTACTTCATTATTTTTAATTTAATTTAATTAAAAAAAATTTAGTGATGCCTGTCAGTTTTCTGGGTTATTGCCTTCCCCCCTCCCCCAAACACATATTTTAGTAATCAAATGGGTATCATTGAAAATTTAAACCTTCAAAATTCATCCTGCGAAAAAATGTTTTTAAATCAGAAACTGCGTTACCATGGAAACGCTACTTTAAATTCTTTTAGCGGCTCAATTTTTGGATATCAATTTTTAATTTGGAACCACTCAGTTAGACGTTAGATAACAAAAAATAATTGTGAAATACATATTTTATATACAAGCAGAAAGATGGATGTATGGATGGATATTTTATATAAAATAAAAATGTTTAGTTCAGTAGATTTGCTTTACAGGAAACTTAAACGTCTTTACTTTGCTAATTCTTTTTATATATATATATATAGAAAAGAATAACAGCTTCAAAACATAAGTGTAATGGCAGAATTGACTTCTTACATTTTGTGGGTTTCACTGAGTTGCTTCTCTTGACATTCCAGCTCAGTTTTTGCTGTAAAAAGAAGAAAAGAGACATGTTTTCAATTTTTAAATATCATAAGAGTGGGTTACAAACATCTCCATGCGAGTTTACGGATATAAAACGGCTCATTTCTACAGACTGTCTGACAGCCGCTTCACAGAAATATACAGAAAAATTACAGTTAATTATCAATTATGAAACAACTTCGATTTGAGCTGTAAAGATGACAGTCAGAGATTGTTAAAACGTGCATCGCTCCCAGTTTTTCCCAGAAGTCTCTGTTCCAGAAGAGACAGAAACAGAGTCTGGGAACAGGGAATCACGTTGTGTAATTGAAGCCAGAGAAGAAGCAGCCGTTAAATCATCTGACATCAGGCCGAAAGTGTGTGTGTGTAAAGGTGAGATCAGACCGTAAGTGTGTGTTTGTAAAGGTGAGATCAGACCGTAAGTGTGTGTTTGTAAAGGTGAGATCAGACCGTTAGTGTGTGTGTGTGTGTGTGTGTGTGTAAAGATGAGATCAGACCGTAAGTGTGTGTGTAAAGGTGAGATCAGACCGTAAGTGTGTGTAAAGGCGATATCAGACCGTAAGTGTGTGTTTGTAAAGGTGAGATCAGACCGTAAGTGTGTGTGTGTGTGTGTGTAAAGGTGAGATTAGACCGCAAGTGTGTGTGTGTGTGTGTGTGTAAAGGTGAGATCAGACCGTAAGTGTGTGTAAAGGCGATATCAGACCGTAAGTGTGTGTTTGTAAAGGTGAGATCAGACTGTAAGTGTGTGTGTAAAGGCGATATCAGACCGTAAGTGTGTGTTTGTAAAGGTGAGATCAGACCGTAAGTGTGTGTGTAAAGGTGAGATCAGACCGTAAGTGTGTGTGTGTGTGTGTGTGTGTAAAGGTGAGATCAGACCGCAAGTGTGTGTGTGTGTAAAGGTGAGATCAGACCGTAAGTGTGTGTGTAAAGGTGAGATCAGACCGTAAGTGTGTGTGTAAAGGCGATATCAGACCGTACGTGTGTGTGTGTAAAGGTGGGATCAGACCGTAAGTGTGTGTGTGTAAAGGTGAGATCAGACCGTGTGTGTGTAAAGGTGAGATCAGACCGTAAGTGTGTGTGTAAAGGTGAGATCAGACCGTAAGTGTGTGTGTAAAGGCGATATCAGGCCGTAAGTGTGTGTGTAAAGGCGATATCAGACCGTAAGTGTGTGTGTAAAGGCGATATCAGACCGTAAGTGTGTGTGTGTAAAGGTGAGATCAGACCGTAAGTGTGTGTGTGTAAAGGTGAGATCAGACCGTAAGTGTGTGTGTGTAAAGGTGAGATCAGACCGTAAGTGTGTGTGTGTAAAGGTGAGATCAGACCGTAAGTGTGTGTGTGTAAAGGTGAGATCAGACCATAAGTGTGTGTGTAAAGGCGATATCAGACCGTACGTGTGTGTGTGTAAAGGTGAGATCAGACCGTAAGTGTGTGTGTGTAAAGGTGAGATCAGACCGTAAGTGTGTGTGTAAAGGCGATATCAGACCGTAAGTGTGTGTGTTTGTAAAGGTGAGATCAGACCCTAAGTGTGTGTGTGTAAAGGTGAGATCAGACCGTAAGTGTGTGTGGTAAAGGTTAGATCAGACCGTAAGTGTGTGTGTGTGTGTGTGTGTAAAGGTGAGATCAGACCGTAAGTGTGTGTGTAGAAAATCCTGCTGCGATCTGATTGGCTGATTGAGTCCTGATAAGATCACCTGTTGTCACTAGCTAATCATGCTTCAGTCTCAGCTTGTTTGTATGTAAGAGACCGTCTCCCCATTCATGCATGCTCTGTGTGGAATTGTTGCGTGGTTGACCATGAACCAACAATTACCACCTAAGAAATGTCTACTCCTACATGTGAAGCACAATAAAATGGGAAAAGCAAATTGATGACTGAATGAGTTTTAATGGACCCACCATCCTAGTAGCAACAGCTAAATCAGCCTAAATATCCTGCTAGTTTTTATAGTGTGTGTAAAGGTGAGATCAGACCGTAAGTGTGTGTAAAGGTGAGATCAGACCGTAAGTGTGTGTGTAAAGGCAATATCAGACCGTAAGTGTGTGTGTGTAAAGGTGAGTTCAGACCATAAGTGTGTGTGTGTAAAGGTGAGATCAGACCGTAGGTGTGTGTGTGTGTGTGTGTGTGTGTGTGTGTAAAGGTGAGATCAGACCTGACGAGAGCAGAGCTCATTAACGACAGATGCAAGACTCTCGTCTTCTGCTGTGATGTTCAGGTTATGCTAACTCCCGTTAAACTCATCACCAGCAGCATAACACATGTCAATAACACTCATCTCCAGCAGCAGTGTGTGAAACACACACACTTTACCCGGAAACAGAAAGAGGTCATGAACACATCGGTCATCGGGAACACAGCAAGCCGAAAGAGTCGCTCACCTTCGCTGACGAACGTCTCCATCTGGTCTTTAAAGGGCTGCAGATGCTCTTCCGTTGAGACGGAGCAGACCTTCTCCACCTGAGCAGTGCATGCTGGGAAACAGGACCACAGTCATAAACAGGTGCGCAAACAACCATCATATAAACGGAACCAACGTGTGACACTTTCATTTGTTTTCTACATCATGAACTAACAATGAAAACACTCCTAAACCATTTATTAATTTAATGCATTCTTAAATTTAAAAGTTGTATCTGTTAATATTTAATGAGCTAACATTAACAATGAACAGTTTATTTTTAACAATCAAACATTAATAAATACTGTAACAGATGCCGTTAAAAGCATTACCGTTAACAAACGAATGTGCCTTTCCTACAGAAACTGTCATTTATGATGTATATCTGCTCATGTTTCATGAACGAAGCCCTTCATGTACAGTATGTACACTCAAAATGGCATTTATGAAAAAAAATAAATAAATAAATAAATAATGATTATAGTTATACTAAAAGCATAAATAAACATGTTTTACCTAAAATAAAATAAATGTTAAGTGAAATATAATAAAAACTGAATAATGCAAGCACACTCAATTCTGCTTGATGATTCAAGACTGTCAAACGATCATTAATATCTAATTATTTCACTCCTAATGCAGTTTCCACATCTCAAAAGCACATGGGATGATTCTCCTGACCTTTGACCTCCAGAAGGGTCAGAGACGATCTGAACACGATCTATTAACCCGACAGAACCGACACGAACATCCAAACGAAACAGACAAACACACGCGGACGAACTTTAACTGTGTGAAAGTAACACTACAACTCATAACGGACTAGACTTTCGAGACTGAGGAGTGAACGCCTGTCCTCGCTCAGACGCGTGTGAACCTGCGCTGTTCAACACCGAACAGACCAGAGACAGAAGTGTCAAAGCATCCCATTCTTCAAAGACCAGAGTGAGCCGAATGTGTGGCTAAACCCGGGATTAGACACGTTAACCTGTGAACTCTGAGATTAGAGGGGAAATCCTCACTTCCGTCCCAGAAAGCCATCGTTCACTCTCAGCTAAAACATGCAGCAATTACTGCAATTCGGTTCAGGAGAGCAGAGTCCTCAAGCGGAGGGGAACGACCCTCGGCTGGGCTTAGGGTCAGGAGAGCAGAGAGTCCTCAAGCGGAGGGGAACGACCCTCGGCTGGGCTTAGGGTCAGGAGAGCAGAGAGTCCTCAAGCGGAGGGGAACGACCCTCGGCTGGGCTTAGGGTCAGGAGAGCAGAGAGTCCTCAAGCGGAGGGGAACGACCCTCGGCTGGGCTTAGGGTCAGGAGAGCAGAGAGTCCTCAAGCGGAGGGGAACGACCCTCGGCTGGGCTTAGGGTCAGGAGAGCAGAGAGTCCTCAAGCGGAGGGGAACGACCCTCGGCCGGGCTTAGGGTCAGGAGAGCAGAGTCCTCAAGCGGAGGGGAACGACCCTCGGCTGGGCTTAGGGTCAGGAGAGCAGAGTCCTCAAGCGGAGGGGAACGACCCTCGGCTGGGCTTAGGGTCAGGAGAGCAGAGAGTCCTCAAGCGGAGGGGAACAACCCTCGGCCGGGCTTAGGGTCAGGAGAGCAGAGAGTCCTCAAGCGGAGGGGAACGACCCTCGGCAGGGCTTAGGGCCAGGAGAGCAGAGAGTCCTCAAGCGGAGGGGAACGACCCTCGGCCGGGCTTAGGGTCAGGAGAGCAGAGTCCTCAAGCGGAGGGGAACGACCCTCGGCCGGGCTTAGGGTCAGGAGAGCAGAGAGTCCTCAAGCGGAGGGGAACGACCCTCGGCCGGCTTAGGGTCAGGAGAGCAGAGTCCTCAAGCGGAGGGGAACGACCCTCGGCTGGGCTTAGGGTCAGGAGAGCAGAGTCCTCAAGCGGAGGGGAACGACCCTCGGCCGGGCTTAGGGTCAGGAGAGCAGAGTCCTCAAGCGGAGGGGAACGACCCTCGGCTGGGCTTAGGGTCAGGAGAGCAGAGTCCTCAAGCGGAGGGGAACGACCCTCGGCCGGGCTTAGGGTCAGGAGAGCAGAGAGTCCTCAAGCGGAGGGGAACGACCCTCGGCCGGGCTTAGGGTCAGGAGAGCAGAGAGTCCTCAAGCGGAGGGGAACGACCCTCGGCCGGGCTTAGGGTCAGGAGAGCAGAGAGTCCTCAAGCGGAGGGGAACGACCCTCGGCCGGGCTTAGGGTCAGGAGAGCAGAGAGTCCTCAAGCGGAGGGGAACGACCCTAGGCTGGGTTTAGGGTCAGGAGAGCAGAGAGTCCTCAAGCGGAGGGGAACGACCCTAGGCTGGGCTTAGGGTCAGGAGAGCAGAGAGTCCTCAAGCGGAGGGGAACGACCCTCGGCTGGGCTTAGGGTCAGGAGAGCAGAGTCCTCAAGCGGAGGGGAACGACCCTCGGCTGGGCTTAGGGTCAGGAGAGCAGAGAGTCCTCAAGCGGAGGGGAACGACCCTCGGCAGGGCTTAGGGTCAGGAGAGCAGAGTGTCCTCAAGCGGAGGGGAACGACCCTCGGCCGGGCTTAGGGTCAGGAGAGCAGAGAGTCCTCAAGCGGAGGGGAACGACCCTCGGCCGGGCTTAGGGTCAGGAGAGCAGAGTCCTCAAGCGGAGGGGAACAACCCTCGGCCGGGCTTAGGGTCAGGAGAGCAGAGAGTCCTCAAGCGGAGGGGAACGACCCTCGGCCGGCTTAGGGTCAGGAGAGCAGAGTCCTCAAGCGGAGGGGAACGACCCTCGGCCGGGCTTAGGGTCAGGAGAGCAGAGAGTCCTCAAGCGGAGGGGAACGACCCTCGGCCGGCTTAGGGTCAGGAGAGCAGAGAGTCCTCAAGCGGAGGGGAACGACCCTCGGCTGGGCTTAGGGTCAGGAGAGCAGAGAGTCCTCAAGCGGAGGGGAACGACCCTCGGCCGGGCTTAGGGTCAGGAGAGCAGAGTCCTCAAGCGGAGGGGAACGACCCTCGGCTGGGCTTAGGGTCAGGAGAGCAGAGTCCTCAAGCGGAGGGGAACGACCCTCGGCTGGGCTTAGGGTCAGGAGAGCAGAGAGTCCTCAAGCGGAGGGGAACAACCCTCGGCCGGGCTTAGGGTCAGGAGAGCAGAGAGTCCTCAAGCGGAGGGGAACAACCCTCGGCCGGGCTTAGGGTCAGGAGAGCAGAGAGTCCTCAAGCGGAGGGGAACGACCCTCGGCAGGGCTTAGGGCCAGGAGAGCAGAGAGTCCTCAAGCGGAGGGGAACGACCCTCGGCCGGGCTTAGGGTCAGGAGAGCAGAGTCCTCAAGCGGAGGGGAACGACCCTCGGCCGGGCTTAGGGTCAGGAGAGCAGAGAGTCCTCAAGCGGAGGGGAACGACCCTCGGCCGGCTTAGGGTCAGGAGAGCAGAGTCCTCAAGCGGAGGGGAACGACCCTCGGCTGGGCTTAGGGTCAGGAGAGCAGAGTCCTCAAGCGGAGGGGAACGACCCTCGGCCGGGCTTAGGGTCAGGAGAGCAGAGTCCTCAAGCGGAGGGGAACGACCCTCGGCTGGGCTTAGGGTCAGGAGAGCAGAGTCCTCAAGCGGAGGGGAACGACCCTCGGCCGGGCTTAGGGTCAGGAGAGCAGAGAGTCCTCAAGCGGAGGGGAACGACCCTCGGCCGGGCTTAGGGTCAGGAGAGCAGAGAGTCCTCAAGCGGAGGGGAACGACCCTCGGCCGGGCTTAGGGTCAGGAGAGCAGAGAGTCCTCAAGCGGAGGGGAACGACCCTCGGCTGGGCTTAGGGTCAGGAGAGCAGAGAGTCCTCAAGCGGAGGGGAACGACCCTAGGCTGGGTTTAGGGTCAGGAGAGCAGAGTCCTCAAGCGGAGGGGAACGACCCTCGGCTGGGCTTAGGGTCAGGAGAGCAGAGTCCTCAAGCGGAGGGGAACAACCCTCGGCCGGGCTTAGGGTCAGGAGAGCAGAGAGTCCTCAAGCGGAGGGGAACGACCCTCGGCCGGCTTAGGGTCAGGAGAGCAGAGTCCTCAAGCGGAGGGGAACGACCCTCGGCCGGGCTTAGGGTCAGGAGAGCAGAGAGTCCTCAAGCGGAGGGGAACGACCCTCGGCCGGGCTTAGGGTCAGGAGAGCAGAGAGTCCTCAAGCGGAGGGGAACGACCCTCGGCCGGGCTTAGGGTCAGGAGAGCAGAGAGTCCTCAAGCGGAGGGGAACGACCCTCGGCCGGGCTTAGATATATTATGTAAAAAACTTTTATTTTGGATGCGATTGATTTACATTGTTTTGAACATTTTACTCTGTTTTGCATCTGTTTTGTTATTGAAAATCAGTGTTACTCCAAATATTGATTTCTTAATTCTTCTAAAGTTAAAGCATTAGTATTGAGATGTTTAATATGAATATTAATTGTTTTCTTAGTATTATTCGAGGATAAAAACATCGCATCTTTTTTGTTCGACAATTTCTGCAAATAAATGACTTTTTATTTGAAAATGGGAAGAAATGTTATCAGTAGTTTATAGAAAACAATTTTCACTCAAACACTCTTTTTTCCAGAGCTGTATGTTCAGTGCTGTTATTTTTCTAAATGTCATAATCATTTGTTTTACAAACAAGTATTTATTACTTCAATGAGCTCATCGTTTCTGCATTAAATTAATACATTTTTAGCTAACTGTGATCTTGTATATTTTCTGAAATGCATAACTTAGACAGTCTCCTCTGATAACAGATCACTGTAAACTGTAAAGTGGACTCGTGCACTCTCTGTAAAGCTGCTCTGAAACTGTGTGTGTTGTAAAAAAAATGCTATTCAAATAAATGTGAATTGAAATTGAATGAACGAAGTTATCAGTTTGTTTCTTTCTATTTTCAGCGGTGTTTCACAACGCAAAAGTCGACTGCTGTGTGTCAGTCATATTCATATCTCTAGATATGGCACTGATGAAGTTTGTAACCTCATGAAGAAATGAAAACAGCCAATCAGAGTGAAATCAGCCGGAGCGGTTACAGGGTCTGTTCCCTGGAGCGAGTGTGTGTGTGTGTGTGTGAGAGTGAGTGATCGAGGCCGTGCCAGAGACGCAAACTAAAGAGAATTTAAAAAAATAATAATTGAGGAACTGCGTTAAAGTGGCACAATAAAATGCACAAAGAGAGAAATAATGTGAAGTAAAGGCCTGCTAACCATTTCAAAAGTGTTAACAGCTTCCAGGCCCATTACCAGCTGACCTCAGGCCTGTGTGTTCAGCAGAGTGAGGTCACACACACACACACAGCGCTGGCGCGCACAGATACACATGTGCAAGGAATCATTCAGCTATTCCTGATCCAAAGTTCTTATGTTGATCTGACACTGTAGCAACAATCAATAACCTTCAGACTTCAAGGCTTTCCTCAACTCTCAGCCAAAGCTGGTCCATCAACTCTCTCTTCTAACTGGAAATAATCACTTAAAACTAGATCAGAGCTGGATCGGGAAGATCTTCCGCAGAAGAAAGATCCTTTTTAGCGTGTTGAACATGAGGGCATCTGTATCAGGTTCTGTACATCGAGACACACACACACACACACACCCAGACACTCATACACACACACACACACACACACACCCAGACACACGTCGGTTAACTTTACCTCGCAGATCTTTCCGGAGTCTCAGCAGATCTTTAGTCAAGTCCTCAAACTTCATCTGAGAGGCCTGGAACAGGTCTTGGGGTTCTGGGAGCGGAAACACACACGTCTCCCTGCCCGCGTCCTGAAACACACACACACACACACACACACACACACACACACTGAAGACTAGTAAAGATTATGCTGTACTGTGAGAGCATCATATATGAACCTCACCTCATCAAAGTGTCTCAGGTAGTACGACACGATGTATGCCAGCAGACTTTTACTGTTGTCCTGAAAACCAGAGGAGAAAAGTCAGCTGATTGAAACCAGTTAAAAAGTGTGTGTGCGCGTGTGTGTTTGTGTGAGCTTGTGTGTTTGTGTGAGCATGTGAGTGTGTGTGTGTGAGAGAATGTGACAGTGCGTAAGTGAGAGTGCGTGTATGTGACAGTGTGTGAGTGTGAATGTGAGTGAGTGAGTGTGTGTCTGTGTGTGTGTGTGTGTGAGTACATTTGAGAGTGTGTAAATGTGAGTGTGTGTATGTGTGTGAGAACGTGTGAGAGTGTGTGAATGTGAGTGTGTATGTGAGTGAGTGCGTGTGTGTGACAGTGTGTGAGTGTGTGTATGTGAGTGAGTGTGAGAGTGTGTGAATGAGAGTGTGTGTATGTGAGTAAGCGAGTTTAATTAAGTGAGTGAGTGTGTGTGTTTGAGAGAGTGTGAGTGCGTGTGTGTTTGAGAGAGTGTGAGTGTGTGTGCAGGGTTCCTGCACACTTTTGAAAGTCAAATTTAAGGCTTTTTAAGACCTTTTTAAGACCTTAAGAAATCAAAATTAATACCGTACATTAGGGCTGTGCAGTATTGACAAATATATCTTGATATTTTCAACGTTTTGTTGATAATAATTAGATGATATTTTACTGATTGTGTTTTTGTGCTGGTGCCTTGCTGACTCACGAAGATATTCATATTTTTCATATTCTATGCAGTGGTCGATTCACAGCAGTGACAGAAATTAATATTTTGATTAAGGGGCAATATTTGCCACCTTAAATTGATTTTTTCAGGGGCATTTTCACCTATATATGGACATTTTTTCTAAACTTATTTAGAGTTATGCATCACCTTTAATGTCAAATACTATCATTCAAATTAAATTATACAGTAATTATACAATAATACTTAGTTATATAATAATCATACAGTACCACTGTTACCAGTCAAATTAAATCAAAATCCATCTTTGCAGTGCAGAGGTGACAGAAGCGGCATCAGAAGTGGCATTAATATATTTACACTCCATTTACAACTGCATAAATAAAGCTATGAGATATATATTTTTAAATCAATATTCAATATTTAAATATGAAATGATTTCTAATTTTAACGTTTTATTTAAAGGGTACTTTAAATAGGAAACCGCAGCGGCAAATCACTGTCTTAATAAGTGAGTTAAGGGAGTCATTCATTCAACCGATTCGTTCAAACGGCTGATTCATTCGGGAAAGAAGCGAGTGATTCGTTCAAAACGCGGATTTCAGTCAAGAAATCATCGCTGTCGGTTGCATTGAGACTCTGCTACTGTTTCATTTTGAAATTATAGTCGGCGAAATAAAGGGAAAACAAACAATATTAACAATATTGTGTCTAAAAAGTAGTTTCAATGTTAACTTATTGTTAATTTAACAGTTGTATAACATAAATATCACACTTGGAATTGTGCACGGGAAAAGGGCACTCTTTCTGATGTGATATTCTAATATAAGAACATAATATGATATAAATATAAGACAAAAACTAATTTGGGGACATAACAGTTACACTGCACACATCACGCAGTGAAAGCACGAGACAAATGCGATGTCAGCTCGCAGTGCCTGTACATTGTTAAAACAATGATTACAATATCATAATAGACAATACACATCGCACACCATACGCACATAAAGAATGAACTCACAACTGAACT